GACCACGATGAGGGTTGCTGCCTCCCTCCCTTCGTTCCGGGAGGTAGGACAGGGAGGTAGTGGCAATGAAACAATGGAGAGGAGGCCCTTTTCCTTGGAAGGGACTTGGGGAGGGACGTGCTCAGCCAGCAGAGGGAAGAGAGGGAGGATGGAGGGGCTTTCCCTCCCTCCTCCCTCCTTTCCTCCTGCTGGTTAGGCGTTGGCGTCGCTCGGGCGTGCGCAGTTTTTTCCCGGCGAGGACCATCGAGGTGCCTCTTGGATCACTTTTTGAAGACATAAGCGCGCGGAATGGACGCCCGAACGATGGCAAGAGGCTCGCGCCGCCTTTGCCGAGGCCACGGCTTCCACGCCGTGCCCTGGCGGGCACAGGCGTGCTCCCTGGCTGAGCTCGCCCGACTCCGGCGCTGGCCTTGTCTCGTCTCGTCCTCCTCCTGCCCCCTTGATCCTCGCCAGACCCCCTCCTCCTCCTGCCCCTCGTCGAGGCCCAGGCCTGTGTCGGATTGTCTTTCTGAGTCCCGTTTTCTTCCCCCGTCGTGTCGGAAGCTCCCCGCGGCTCTTCCTGGGTCCGCGGCAGACATCGGGAATCTCATGGCCGGGGCCATAACGTCTCCCCGAATATCGTGGCCCCCTCTTCTTCTTTTTCTTTCTCCTCCTCCTCCTCCTCCTCCTTCTCCGCCTTGTCCTTCTCCTCCTCTTCCCCCTCCCCTGTTTTTTCAAGGATTTTCATTGCAAGGATTTTCATTACTACTATTTTCAGTGTCTTCGTCTTATGCTCATGCTTCTTCTTCTTGTTATGTGTGTTTGTACGCGTTTTCCGCAGAACTGGAGGCCTTCGGACACGGCAGCGCCTCTGCACGTTGCCTCCGTAGTCGCCCCTTTTTGTTCAAGAAGGCCCGGTCGGGCCGTCGTTTCAGGCGCCACGCGCATGCAACAAGGCAAGCTGCAGTTCTTGTATTATATGTTGCGAGACGTGATTGCCTTCAACGCGCTGGCCCCAGAGCCAGTCTGCCATTGTCATTTTGAGGTCGCTCATTGTGACACGAGCTTGGATACGAATTGACATCACATTGAGCGGATCGTGACGCGTCAACTGGAATCGGTGCGGCTGCAACTTAGCTCATCGGTGACTGCACTTTTTCGTTAGCCGGTTCAGTGTCACTCTGGTCAGTTTCTTAGTTGGATTGCTTGTCGCAGGTTGTTGCCATCGACGTGCAACGCGAGTGGTGCAGCCTGCACTTGTGGTCGATCAGCTACCCGTCACTCGTGGGAAGAACGGTCCGGCTACACCGTCGACGCTCCGTTTTTGTGAGGGGTCACGCGCGCTTTAGATATCAAAGAAAGGCAAATTATGGTTTGGTGCGACGATGATCAACATGTCACGTGGCATCAACGAATACTGCTGGTGCTCGTCTCCTCGGGCGGGTGGGTCGTTCTCACGCCGACAGGAGACTCGCAGACATTGGAGGGCGGGACTGTCAGGTTTGAGCCGCTCGTTCGAGGACGAGATAAGCCAGAGCGTTGCTGGAACGACTGTTTCTTGTTCAATCCGCGCCCGGTGCGGGAGTTCAGTGAGGCCTTTGCTCGCGCCAAAGAGCTGGCGGACTTCGCTGACGAGGGTATCGAGGTGGACGGCGCGGAGGCGTGGGTCATCTCAGGCATGTCGCACCTTCGGTTCGACGAGCAGGTGGAGCCGGGCATCTTGGAGGACGCCGGGCGGGACCTGCTCCGCAAGGCCAGGGGCGTGGTTCAGCTCGAAGCGTACGGCTCGATCTCGGAGATGCACGTTCAGAGGGTTGACCTCAACGACCCGGCCAACTGGAGAAACAGAATCGGAGTCGGGGTGGATCTGCGGCCCCTGGGCGCTTACCGGATCGCTGTTGGCGGGCGGTTTCTGCAGACCAAAGAGGCCGTGGGCAAGCTCGAGGAGACCGAGTGCGGGGCTCTCCCTTCGCCGACTCTCGCGCTGTCAGAGAGTGCCCGGACGACATCATCGTGGCTGCCGACGGCTCGTTCGAAAGCCATTCGCCAGGAGTGGTGCGATGCCGCCGTTGCGGCGGGGGCCCCGCCTAACGGCGGCATCGCTAATGACCGCCGCGCTGTCCTGGGGGCGCGGCGGTCATTAGGATTATACGCTGTCCCGCGTATAATCAGAGTTCATCCTGGCAAACTCGGAGATGGGTGAGCTGCTCATCAGGCGGCTCGTCCAGGAGGAGCTCGCAGTGGAGAAGGCCTCGGAGCATCCAGACCACAGTGGGTTTGGGCACATCCTGACTGGCTCGACTGAGGACAAAGGAGGAGCTGCTGCGTCTGAATTCACGAAGTGGATCGCCGAGAAGCGGCTTCAGCGGGCCTTCGCCCTTCAGCAGTCGCGCTTGCTTCGCGAGAAGAGGGCGGTCGACGAGAAGAGGCGCTGCCCCCGAGGTTCGAAGGGGGCCTCCCAGGGCGGCAAGGCTGACGCCATCGACGGCGGCGGAGGCCCTGGGGGATGAAGCTCTTCGGGATTGCATCGGGATCAAGTGCCTGGTTGATCTCGTGGTCCCAACTTCACAGGTCGGAGTCTCCAGTCAGATGCTTCGGGCTCCGAGTTTTGTTCGCCGTGGTCGAGATGATCGCGGTCAGCGGCGGCATGTCGACGCTCTCCCTCTGCCAGTCCGCTCGGTGAAGGGCTCCTCCGGGGGCCCCGGGCGCCGGTGGCGGGGAATGCGCAGGCAGGCTGGACGTCGAGACCAACGTCTCTTCGAGTCAGTTCGCTCGCTCAACTTCCTGCGCCGTGCCAGAGCGCGTTCAGATTCAGGCTGTCTTTGCGAGGGCGCCGCTGGCAGGGCCCCGTCTCCTCAGACGTGGGTTCTGGAATCTCTGGATGATCGAATCTCTCTCCACGGCGATCGGCCGAAGGGCCTGGCCCCGCTTGGCGCACTCAATGAGGCGCGTATAGCGAAATGCCCGCGCGCGCAGGGGCCGCAGCGCATGGCGCCCGACCTTCCTGACAAGCTGAAGGTGACTAAGGGCGACGCCCCCCCCCCCCTCCCCCTCGAGTCCGCGCCCCCCCCGGACGCGTCGCGGCTGGCCCTGGGCTTCAGAGGGCACATCTTGAAGAGTGATAGCGAGCCGGGGGCGGATCGTTCGAGAGGCGTGTCTGTCACCCCGCTCAGGTGCCCGGGTCTGCGGCGCTCGAAGAAGGCCAGCCGTGGCCTGTTCGCCGCGCTGCGTGCATGTCAGCGCTTCGCATTCAGGCGCCGTATCTTTTCGAGTGTATCTATCTTCTCCGCCTGGAAGAAGACCGGGATGACGCGCCCGATCGTGGGCGCTCGCTCCACCGACGAGAAGTGCAAGACACCTCCTCGCGCTGACATGGGGCGCGATCGCCTCGCTGGCGGACGTTGACCTCAGCATAGTGGGGCCCTCGGAGATCGCCGATGCCGAGCTGGGCGCGGAGGGGGGGCGGAGCTCCTCGAGGGGCAGGGGGCCTCTTCTCACTGCCCTTCTCGGGGAGCTCGTTGGTCGCGGTGGGCAGCTTCTGCCAGGTTGACAGCTGGCGCATGGCCAGTTGGTTCGGGATGGGCGATCCCGACGAAGCGGGCGTCTACGGAGTCACAGAGGTCTGGGATGACGACCTTGAGGAGGTGGTGTCTGTGCGGCCCTCCGACATTTTGTACCCGTGCTTCAGAGCGCGTAGCGTGGGTTTTACCTTGGCCCTCTTCCGGTGCCATTCAGCTGTGGAGCATGTTGTTGCCGCTGGGGTCCCAGGGGGCGCCTCTCGAGCTGCTCCGGAGAAACGCGGGCGCCGCGGGCACCGTTCGTGAGCCCTATCACCTCGACCTGCGTGGTCGCGCGGCCCTGCTGAGTGCCAATGCCGACGCATCAGATGTGCATCGAGTTCTGCGCCAATTCTCCGTTCGAGGCATGCGCGCACACGACGCGGTTGAACAATCTCTTTCGCTGGAGCCCCTCGGCGCCATATTCGATGGTCGGCTTCGCCTCCTAAATCATCGGCCCCGTCGAGTCTGGCGAGTGTATTTGGCTGGTAAGGAGCTGCTTCGTCGATGACGACTTCGCGGCGAGGTACTTCGAGTTTGGGTCGGTCGCGTGGTGCGCCTCTTCATGCTCGAAGGGCCTGCCCTTTCCAGTCTGTGGACCGTTCATCAATTAATTCAGCGCGCTCTGGGCCGTCGCTGTCGCGCGCGGGGCTCGGTCCGCCAGGAGATCGAAGCGATCCTAGGCCTTATCTTTCTCTGCCGGCGTGACCTTGGGGCGCCGCAGGCGTGGCCCGCTTTTCCGACTCGTCCGACCTGGGCCATTGCCCGGCAGTGACGGGCGCCTCGGGCGCGGAGCTCAGAGAGGCGGCTGCGTGCCATGAGCGCTGGCGCTTCGTCGAGGACCGGGTGGGCCTGACCTGCGACCTGGTGCCCTAACTGGAACTCTGCGACAGCCCGGGCCTCTCGCCGCCGGGAGGCTCGCCCGAGGTGTGGCGGGCGCCCCAGGGCGTGCCCGAAGTGGTCGTTCCCCGTCGGTGTCCGACGCAGCTGGGGCGCCGACACTTCGAGGGGGGCGACAGGTCGGCCCTGGGTGGTGGAGTTCGGCGCGCACTTCGAGAGCGCGTGCTTCGCGGGGATCCGCGGCGCGCGCCCGCGCTAGGTCCGACCTGGGGCCCTCTTCGAGCGGAAGTGGAGGGGCCCGTCCGAGCACATCAGCGCGAAGGAGGGCTGGGTGATGCTGACCGGCCGGCGGCGAGCCTGCCGCAATCCCGGCTGCCATGGAAAGCGGCTCGCCCCCCTCTCTGACAGCCTGGTCGCCTGTTGCGCCTTTGGTCGAGGGCGCGGCGAGGCGCAGAGAAGACCAACTGGGGCCCATGGTATCTCGGGCGGAGGGCCGCGGCCATGCGGATCGCGCGCAGAGCGCAGTGGGCGACCCGACACCTTCAGGGGGCCCGCAACCCGACTGACGCTGGTTCTCGTCGTTCGCAACCTCGGTCTGGAGCGAGGCGATCACGGCGTGGCCAT